TCAGGTCCCCTGGCACTGGGCAGGGGGCATGGCCTCAAGTCCCAGGCCTGGCAGGGGGCACAAGCTCAGTCCCTTGGCCAGCACCAGGGTGGGGGACACGCCCTTAAGTCCCTGGCCCAGTGCCAGGGTGGGGGACACGGCCTCAGGTCCCCTGGCCCTGGCACAGAGGCCCAAGGGTGTGATGACCATTTGCATATTAACTCTTTATTATATAGGATTATGCACCAATAACAGATAATGTGTGATTTTTGCAAGTTCAGGATTGCATTTTTTTCTGAACTATTTTCATTTAACATATGAGCTTTCTTCTTTTTAAAATAATTTTAAATACATGTCATTGGATGCATAAAAGAAGTACTGTTGAATATTTAATGTTTACATTTTTCCTTATTATAAATAATGATTCGATGGAATTCTTCTATTTGTCTCTGTGTGAATGTTTATTTCCTCAAGATAGATTCCAAAAGGTCGAATTACTGAGTTAAACATTTATGTTTCTGCTCAGCCAGTGTGGTTCAGTGGTTGAGCATTGACCCATGAACCAGGAGGTCATGGTTCCAATCCCAGTTAGGGCACATGCACAGGTTGCGAACTTAATCCCCAATAGGGGGCATGCAGGAGGCAGATGATCAATGATTCTCATTATTGATGTTTCTATCCCTCTCTCCCTCTCCTTTCCTCACTCTAAAATCAATAAAAACATATTTAAAAAGAAAGTAAATAATCAATGTGAAATTCCCAAACTCATGGAAGAAGCTAGATATTCAAATACAAGAAGGTAACAGAACACCTAATTATCTCAACATAAAAAAAACTTCTCCACGACACATATTAAAGCTGTCAAAAGTTAATGACAAAGAAAGAATTCGAAAAAAACAGTAACCTATCAACAAAACCCCATCACATTATCATCAAAATTTTCCGTAGAAACCCTACAAAGCAGGACAGAATTGAATGATATATACAAAATATTGAAAGTGAGAAACCAAAAGCCGAGAAGAACATATCCAGCAAAGTTATCCTTTAACTCTGAAAAAGAAAAGAGGCTTTCCCTGGCAAACAAAAGCTGAGAGAATTTACCACCCCTTCCTTATAAGAAATGTTGAAAATATTTCTTCTACCTAAAACAAAAACACAATAGTATACAATACTGTAAGATGATGGACAGAAGAAGGAAATTACAACTCTACCTCAGAATAGGGTATTAAACAATTATAACACAAAGGTTAATGCAGAAAAGGCATTAAAAATAACTATAACTACTGAACATTGGTAATGAATGAACAACATAAAAATGGATCAATTGTGATAACAAAAGCATAAGAAAGGAGGAGGAAAAGGACTAAACTTGTATAGGTGAATGAAGATAGGATGCAAACAGAAAAAAAGAGGACTATTTTTAAAAATATTTTTTATTGATTTTAGAGAGAAAGGGTGAGGGAGAGAGAGATAGAAACATCAATTATGAGAGAGAGTCATTGATCAGCTGCTTCCTGCATGCCCCCTACTGGGGATTGAGCACACAACCTGGGCATGTGCCCTTGTCTAGAATCCAACCCAGGACCCGTCAGTCCACAGGCCAATGCTCTATCCACTCTATTAACTAGCTAGGGCAGAAAGAGGACTATTTTATCTATGAGACATTTTTTTACAGACCGAATGGTAAACACAAAACAAAAATCCAGAACTGAGAATAAGAAACATTAAAAAAAAAAAGGAAAGGAAATGGAGGGAGGAAGAAAACATAGAAAACCACAAAACCAATATATCAGGCAGAAACATGAGGGAAAAGAAACAATGGAGATATACAGCAATCAGAAACAAAAGATAAAAGGGCTGTAGTAAGTCCTCATAGTGAGTGAGAATTATAAGAGTTAGAATTCTAATAAACTTCTACACATATGTATATGCATACTTTCCAATTTCCCCACCTGCCCACACACCAAGAACAAGCTGCCAAGCATTTACCGGCATGCCACAGCCACCAAGGGGTGGTCAGGCACCAGGAAAAAAACATCTTCCCAGTTTATTCCGTTTTTGTTAATCCTCACCCCAGGAAAAGCCATCTTCTCTATAGCAAGCCTAAAGGAGCAGGGAGAGGGGTCAGTGCTCCTGCATCCCATGAGAGCTGAGGAATGCAGCCACTCCCAGAACTGCAGGGAGTCCCGGAGGAGGTGTGAGGAGGAGGTGTGACAAATGCCCTTGCTGCTCACTCCTCCCACCCTCTGGTCTCCACTGGCTGAGCCCAACCGGCATCCCGGACAAAGGAGCTTCCTGAGTGGTGCCATCCACCTGGGCCAGCTCTGGGGCACAGAGCAGGGCTGGGTAAGGACAGTCACCAGGACAGCAGGTAGAAGGGGGGCCCAGAAGCAGCAGAGAGGAACCGAGACATGGCCTGCGACACCTCCTGGGCCTGAGATGTGAGGGGTGGGGCCTGGCACAGGAGCAGGAGCGTCAGCACCCCTGGTGCACACAGCTGGGGACACAGGGTCCCCCAGGCCCGGAGCACAGGGGAGGAAAGGGCACTCCAAGGTGAACTTGAGAGGAAGCAGTGTAGCCATCATCACAGGTCTGGACCTCCATAGCTCCTGTGATTCCAGGAGCTTCATGAGGGCTTTTGGGTTTGGATTGCTTTAAAAATTGTATCACAAAATCTTAGTTCACTGTCTCTGTCCTGTCCCTCAGCTGGGAGTACCTGTGAGACCCGAGTACCTCCTCCTGCCACACCTCTCCCAACAGCTAGCTGGATTCCCCATCAGTAAAGACGCTGTTTGCATGCTTGGTCACATCGGTCCTTGGCGCCCCGTTAAAAATAGTCACACCCACATAGATGGAGTCAAGGAGGCGCACTCTGCTATGGACTGAATGCTTGGGTCCTTCCCGCTCCCGGAAAACCCATGGATAGTGAAGCCCTGACCCCCAACAAGATGGTATTTGGAAACGGGGCCTTTGAGAGGTAATGGGGCGCAGATGAGGTCATGAAGGCGGGGCCTGCACGAGGGGATGAGTGCCCAGCCCTGAAGACACCCCTCAGGGCAAACCTCCCAATTTCGGGGGGACCCCTTTTCTTGGAGATCTCGGGCTTGCCCTGATGTTTCTGTTCAGTCTTTGGATTTACGTGGGGGAGGGTCAGGGGGTTGTCGGGGTGAGGCGGTACCCCTTATTGCCTGCCTGGAGCAGCACGGTTTGGAGAGCTGCTGTGGCGGCCGAGGAAGGGAAAGCCTACATTAATCTTTTGGGGTCTCCATGGACACGTGGGCCCTTTCGCCACCCGTCCTCAGGGGCAGTGAGTTTCTGGGTTGCCCCGAGGGAACTGGCTGCTTGTGGGACAGGAGCCCATCAGTACATTCTGAGAAATACTATTTAGTCTCAGATTCCTAAAAGTTTGAGGCTGGCAGAGGCTTTTAATATGGCCAGTTTCCCCCAGCGGGTCACCTGCCCCTCGCCATTTCCCGAGGGACACACAGTGTGCCCACAGGGACGTGGACCATGTCCTTCCCTCAGGGCATGGCTCTCCATGCCCGAGGCATGGTGTCCCTGCACGGCTCAGGCGGCCATGTCTTGACCCTGCTTTCCCTGCCACATTCTACCCACCTTTCTGCTCTCCTTCCTGTGGACTCACTCCGCCTCCAGGCATCCGGGCCTTTCATTCCAACCTGGCTCTTCCAGGATGGGCGGGGCCCGCTGACGCACGCACAGAGGGGCGGGGCTTCGTGAGGACGCCCAGCCGCTCCTCACGCAAGGTTTCCCTGCAGGGCCCTCACGCTCCTCACGCTCCTCATCCAGTGCCAGGAGCCACCTCCTCGCCCCCTGGGCAGACTGTGGACAGGAACCAATCCAGTGCCAGGAGCCACCTCCCTCCCGCCCCCCAGGTCTGTGTGCGCAGGCGCAACCTGAGGGGGCAGGGCTTCTTGGGAAGCCATTGTCTCAGTGTGAGTGAGAGGGGACTTCCGGTGTGTGGCGGGCAGCGCAGCCATGCAGGCTCCCAAGGAGGAGGAGGACGACGGCAGAGGCAGCATGGACGGTGGTGCTGGGTCACCCAATGTCCCAGGGGGCGCCGTGGGCCCTGGAGACCAGGACAGCACCAAAGAGGAAAGCCCTGCCGCCGAGGGAGCCCCCCAGGTTGAAGGGGCCTCACAGGTCGAGGGGACCTCGCAGGTCGAGGGGCCCCCCCTGGTCGAGGCGGCCTCGCAGGTCGAGGCGGCCTCACAGGAGTCGGGGCAGGCTGCAGTGGCCTCTACCTCCCACAGAGGTCCTGGACGCCGACTGTCGGAGTTGTATCTTTTCCAAGGCGCCCCCTCCCCCTCCCGTGGGAGGGAAGGGTGAGGGGATGGGCGGGAGGTGGGGGGGCTCAGGAGAACGGGCAGGATAGGCTTCGGGGGCTGCGGGTGGGGAGGCCTGAGGGGCTCATGGGACCGAGGTGGCTGGGGAAGCAGCTGTGGTGGCCTGGAGACCTGGGGCGTGGCCCGGAGACACGGCAAGTGGCTCACGAGGGGCTGCGGTCCAGAGTCCTTGAAGGGTCATCCTGGAGGGTCTTGGGGGGCCTGAGGGGGGGCCTGGGGCAGGACCGGCCTCTGGTGGGCCAGGGCGCCTGACCCACAAAGTCCGTGTGGATGGAGCCTTTACCTTAACTCCACCAGCGCCCTCACGGTGCCTTTCCTGACCTACGTGGATGCGGAGGTGGCCCGCAGATACCTGATGGCAGGGGCCGAAACCTACCACGGGAGGGTTCACTGGGACCTCAGAGTGGCTGACAGTGACCTGTTCATGTAAGTTCCAGAAGGGACGGGGAGGGAGTAGCAGCAGGAGGCGGGCGGGCGGGCGGGCGGGTCTCGGGCCCAGGGGCGCTCTGTTGGCGATGTGGGGACCCCAAGGATGGGGGTCTGAGGATGGCCGCGGGGCGCCGGGTCACTAGAGGGTCTGCCGCAGCCTGAGGACCTCTCTAATGGAGGAGTAGGTCTGATTGCCACCTGGGGGAGGGGTTGGAGTGAGGACGGCGCCGAGTTCTCGCCTCTAAAATGCTTTTCTTCTCCCTTCACTCTTAGCCGCTTAACTGCTGAAGACGCTGACCTCCTGCAAATTTCTACTGCTTCCTTGCTTCACCGGCTTTCCATCGTGGTGCAGACCATGCAGCATTTTGTGCCCCACTTTCGTCCTAAGAGTCAGTCCCAAAAGGGGAATTGAGGCCCCAGGAGTGTCCCGTCCTAGGAAGTACATCCTTCCCTGGGGCCATGGTTTTTGCAGTAGCTGCCCTTTTATTTGGGGGTGCCGGGTTTGTTGTTTGCCTACACTAGCCCTTGGGCACTCTCTGCCCTCTTGTTTGAGTAATGCTTAAATATTGCCTAAATCCGTAATAAAAGTGAGTTACTATTTTGTATCTGAGTTTCTTTTCAGCATCCAGCCTTTCTTGCCTTTGTCCTTGGGTTGGAGGGGAGGTTCTGGGGTTCAGATAGTCAAGTAGTACAGGCAATGGAAGACGGTTTAATGAATGAAAAGTACTTGGATCTTCTCATTCAACAGTTTGGAACACTTTTATAGTTTTAGAATTGTTGGTCTACATTAAATGTATAACAGTTGTTATGCACAAGTAAGATTTTTCCGTTAGCATTGATTTTTTTTCCCCCTGAAATTTTCTCATCTAATATCTGGGCCTTAGGTCTTATTGAATGGATGCATAGAAGATGCATCATAATGTCATTATTCAACACGTGAATTATTTTCATTTTCCCTATTACACATAGTGTATTAATGGGCTTATTGTATATAATCTCTGCATGAATGGTGGTTTTCTTAAGATAGATTCCAACAGGTAGATGTACAAAGCAAACTTGATTTCCAGAAAATGTGCCCACCCACGCCAGAATGCTGTCCCCACATCCCTGTCACTGCTGGAATTGTTTCCTGCCACCAAACACACACACACACACACACACACACACACACACACACACAAACTCAGTTTGCATGAGCAGAGCAAAGAATCCAGAAACACTAGAATAAGAATTGTGTGCTTGCCCTGGCTGGTTTGGCTCAGTGGATAGAGCGTCGGCCTGCAGAACAAAGGGCCCCAGGTTCAATTCTGATCAAGGGCACATGTCTGGGGTGTGGGCTTGGTCCAACGTGCAGGAGGCAGCCGAGCAATGATTCCCTCATCTTTGATGTTCCTATCTCTCCCTTCCTCTCTGAAATCAATAAAAATATATTTTTTTAAAAGAATTGTGTGCTTTACTGTCCTTGTTCCAGGTCAGAGAAGAAAAGTGCTGGGGCAACTGGTTAAGACTTGGGGAAAATATAACTAAAAACAAAATGCTCTGTATGCCAGCACTGTGCTATGTACTTACCGACATTGTTATATATAATGCTCACAAAAACCCAGTGAGCTAGATACTATTATACCTTTTGAGGCTCAGAGAAGCTAAGTAACTTTCTCAAGGTCACCCAGCTAAGAAGAGTCAGAGGCTGGATTTGAATTTTTATTTGATTCAAGCACCCACCCTCTTAGCCACGGTGTCATACCTACCTGAGCACCGCCACCTGGAGCCACCAGGACGCTGGGGTAGCGCTTTCCCTCCCGGTGGCTCTGGGGGACGGCCATGTGACTAATGCCAAGTGCAGGAATGGACAGATGCAGGGCAAGCAGAAGAGAAAAGAAGGTTGGTAAGAACCCCCGCCCCCTTTCAGGTGGCTTTCCTATTCTCCCAGGTCCTTTAATATCTTGAAACACTTGACCCTCTTTGAACTGGGGGTACAATGCTGATACCTGTTTCCCTGCCCCCCGCCCTCTCCTCAGCTATGAAGAGGGCTCTTTTCGGGTACTTGTAGTAGCTGAGAAATAAAAAATAGAACTAAATCTTCTGCCAACCCAGGAAACGTCTCCAGAAAGGCAGCAGAAAAGCCGTTTTGTTGTTGCGTAACCATTGCACCAGGACCTGGTGGACATCCCAGACAATGTGCTAAGAGATTCCAAGGACAGAAAGAAATGTAACCCTTTTATCTAGCAAGCCGATATTCTCCGAGGTGCGGGGCCATGGGCCCCTCCCCCCCAACCCCGCTCCCACCCCCACCGCCGCCTGTCGGGGGACCTCCGCACTCCGCAGCCCCGCCAGCCCCCGCCACCCCGCGCCCTCGCGCCCTGTAGACCCCGCCACATACAGGTTCTCAACATGTGCGGATCTCGTCCTGAAATAAGAGAACCTGACACCACCAGGGCTCACATGTAGTTCATCCTAAACTTACCTGATAACTGGGGTGACCGTGTGTATCAGATCACTGGGTTTTTCTGTGTTGTTTTGTATTTAAAAACTGTTTTTACTGATTTCATGGATGAAGGAAGAGGGGGAGAGAGAGAGAGAGAGAGAGAGAGAGAGAGAGAGAGAGAGAGACTTCAATGATAAGAGAGAATCATTGATCCGCTGCCTCCTGTCCGCCCCACACTGGAGATCGATCCCGCAGCCCGGGCACATGCCCTGACCAGGAATCCAACCGTGACCTGTTCATAGCTCGGCGCTCAACTGAGTCTCATGGGCGAGGCAGGTCACTGGTGTTTTGGACCGAATGTTTGTGTTCCCCCCATTGCCTCAAAGTCACATATTGAAGCCCTAAACCCCGTGAGGCTGTACTGGGAGATGTGGCCTTTTAGGAAGTAACTCAGGTTAAATGAGGTCCTACAGGATTCGCCTCCTTATAAGAAGACAGCAGAGCTCGCCTGCACTACCTCCCTCGACTCTGACTTTTCCCGTCCCCCTCTTCCTTCTCTCTCTCTCTCTCTCTCTCTCTCTCTCTCTCTCTCTCTCTCTCTCTCCATCCCCTTGCACGGAGGAAAGGCCATGTGAGGACATAGGAGAAGGTGGCCACCCGCAAGCCAGGACGAGTCCTCCCAGAAGCTGAATTTCCTGGCACCTTGATTGTGGGCTTCTAGCCTGCAGATCCCGAAGGAAGTAAATGTCTGTTGTTTAAGCCACCCCCGCGTTGGTATTTTGCTAGAGCAGCTCGCTGGCTAATGCAATTGACATGGTCCAAGCGGGGAAATGAACACCTTGTATCTGTTTGACAGGAGCGAGTTTTGCAACTTGGAGCCAGGTGTCCACTGAAGTTTGGCTTCTACCCTCCCACAGAAACCCCAGGACGGGGCGCCAGCTTGCCTGATGTCTCCATTCCGAAGAGCTGTTTCCCAGGCCCTGGAAAAAGATCTTCCCGGGTCATAAAGCTGGCGAGAGGCCTTCAGCAATAGCGACCTGCCTCCTGCACTGGACCGCGGGTGCGGGCTGCCTGCGCCCTGGGCTGGATGGTGCGGGGAGAGCAGCTGCTGAGGGCATTCCCCCTGTTTGGAGGGCCCACCCCTGTCTCGTCCACACCCTGAGCGTCCTCGCCTGTCTCACCACCTTCTGATGCCCTGGCCCCTGGGGTCTGGCTTATTGAGTGCGTGGCTCAGAGCTGGTTTGTGCGAGGCCTCACCTGGGAGAATGGGAGTGGGTGCTGCCTCAGGCAGCGCACGGGTTGGGTGTGGAGCCACAGCTGTGGTCTCCTGACTCTGGTCCCCAGCTTTGACAGCTCTGGGTCCTTTTCTGTGCCCGCGTTTGACGTGAGGACAGGCTGCCTGTGCCGTGGAACGCAGGCAAAGGACACGTGGGAAGGCTTTCCTCATATTCAGAGGACCCGCCCTTGTCCCTTCCTGTGGGACAGCCTTAGGGGCTGCCAGGGCCTGAGCATGAGCCGCACGGGGGGCACGTGTCAGTGCATTTACACCCTAAGACTTGGACTCCCCAAGTGGCTTTCTGTTGCTGAGCATGCTGGTTTTCTGCACATGTAGGTCGGCCGATTGTCCAGTCACAGGCTGCTTCTTGTCTCCTGCAGGAAACGAAATTTACACGCTTTCCAAGAGGCAGAGAGAGAAGTTACAAGCTTTCTGAAGTAAATGCTTTCTGAAAGGGGGAGTGGGGGTGCCTCCTATGTTAACAGGGAGAACTAAGCCTCTTATTTTTAACTTTTCCACCTTCTTATAGTTGCTCTCTCTAAAAAGATGTTGCATCCTGCAAACTTGCTAAACTCCCTGATGAGTCTAGTAGTTCCTTTGCAGAAACCATCAGATTTTCTCTGCTGCAAATAACGGCCGTGTTTCTTTCTTTCCAGCCTTTTCTTGCATGATTCCTCTCCTCATTATTGGCTGTTGTTGTTGTTTTCTGCTTCTGGTAGGTTTCTGGATGCCAGACATTACGATTTCCCCCTAACTGCTGGTATCTTTATAGTCCTAGACGTACAGTGTAGGGCAAAAGTAGGTTTACAGTTGGGAGTATGTGAAACCGAGTTTATTCTTATGTTATTGTGTATTAGTTATTGTTTAATTTTCCATATGGACAACTGTAAACCTATTTTGCCCCACCCTGCATTTTTTTGAGCTTTGTTCTGGATGCTGTTAAGTGACTTGGAAATAGTTGGATCCTTTAGAGTCTGGCTCCGAAGATTTGCTGTGTTTGTGTTCCCCCCCATTGCCTCAAAGTCACATATTGAAGCCCTAAACCCCGTGAGGCTGTATTGGGAGATGTGGCCTTTTAGGAAGTAACTAAGGTTAAATGAGGTCCTGCAGGATTAGCCTCCTTATAAGAAGACACCAGAGCTCGCCTGCACTACCTCCCCCGATTCTGACTCTTCCCCCCTCTTCCTCCTCCTCCTCCTCCTCCTCCTCCTCCTTCTTCTTCTTCTTCTTCTTCTTCTTCTTCTTCTTCTTTCTTTCTCTCTCTCTCTCTCTCTCTCTCTCTCTCTCTCTCTCTCTCTCTCTCTCTCTCCCCCCCTCACTTCCTCTCTCTCCATCCCCGTGCACCGAGAAAAGGCCATGTGAGGACATTTTCCCCACACTACTGAGGCAAGACCCTTCTGAGTGCCCTGCCCCATGCCTCCCGAATTGTGAGGTCTGCCATCCTGGCCGGTGGGGACAGCCACCAGCCCCTGTCCTGCGTGAGCGCTGGGCAGTAGCACCTCTCACCCCTTCAGTGGCTCTTGCCCAGCCTCACGTAGTCCCCTCACGCACGTGTGCTGATCAGTGGTCAGTGGGATACTCCAGGGGGACCCTCTGTGGATACGCAGGGTTCTCACCCTCTGCCACCTTCCCTCTGCGCCTCAACCCCGCAAACTCCAGGAGCTGAGAACTTCAGCTCCTTCTCCTAAACGCGGGGTGGCCACTGGCCTCT